TTCCAGAAAATCGGTCTTCGAAGGCCTAGCAGCAGCATGGTGATATTCGGAATCAGCATCGTCGACTACCTATAGTCCACTAGGTTTCGTTCAAAAAGCGATTTATCAGTTGGGGTACTCCCCTCGTGAGTCCCAGACCTTGGTCACAAGGAGTTTCACCAGGAAATCTTGCTCAAAAGTTCTGGTACAAGTCATTTCATTTTTTTCTGATGTTTATTTAACAAATGGAAAGTATAAAAATTTATAAAAGAAAGAGATTTATTCATTCAAATTAGAAAACAGTTCCTATTTAATTTGTTGTTGAATTTTGGCAATAACTTCACGATGTGTTTCCAGTTTTTTCTCTGTATCTTTAATCATCGTTGTAAGACGTTTTCTAGAAAACAACATAATCAGAGATTGGATGATTATGAACACTATATTTTGTCGTACAATACGTGATACTTACAATTCTCCATCACAATAGACGAGTCGTTTCTCCACTGTTTCTTTTCCTTCACTTAACTCTTGTTTTATTAGTACAGGTCCAATTAATTTGTATACAGTGGCATCTGCTTCTAAAGTTTCAAACTCCTAAACATGTCAAATAAATAGAAATTGAATATGTCAATTATTTGACATTGTCACCTGTTTAACAAATTCATTTTCAGTTTTTGTTACATATAAATTTTGTTGTTGTGCAACATATTTTTTCATTTCTAAATGAAACAACAATATTTACATATGTTAAATAAGTGAATGTTTGTACCATTTTGAGTATGTCGATATTTTTCAACTTCATCTTCGAGCTTTTTTGTTAAATCGGGAGCCATTAAAGCTTGTTAGAAAATCTAAAATAACATTACGAATAACGAATATGGATTCCGACCTAATTTGAAATTTTTAAGCATTCTCATACTCCCAGTGGGACAGAATATACAGTGTTGTATTCAAAGTCAAACTCAAAACAAGATTATCTTCTTTGATGTTTCGAAAAAGTATTTGATTTGAGAATCTGAATTGCAATGGGAAAACTCACTCATTTTGTAAAGCATATAATCAACTTAAAAATCTAATCAAACATAACTTTACGTTTCTAGCATTTTTTTTCTACAAACGGCATACTCTAAAAAAAATTCCTTAGATTACAAAACAAATGTCGTTCTTTATTAGAAGCAAATGCTGAAATAATCTCTGTTTTGTAATCTACCAAATTCTTTTTAATAGAGAGTAGTCGTACCTATTGACTTACTTTTCGAAAAATGAACTGCTATTTCAAAAATTGAGACTACTTTATCGAAACTAAATTCACTAAGAATTTATTATGTTACTCGACTTTTCTAGACTAAATAGCTGTATTTCGTACGGAGATTATGCTAATTTCAGCAAAAAAAATCGTCATTGCTCACTGTGAGATGATTAATTGAAAAAAAAACTTCTTTCAAGTCATTTGCCTGACTTTAGTCATTTTTTATACGACTTGCCCAGCTCTAGCTTTTGGATGATATTATCGGTATTTTTTCGAAAAACGATCGAAATGTGTAAAGGGACTGCTGATGGTCAAATGATTGCAATTTTTTAAACAGTATGAGCCAAGATACGAAATTTATACTTTAGATGACTAACGATCATCGCTATCTATTAGTGCAGAAATAAAGTGTTATCCCCCTTGTATTAGAATTTTATTAAAAAAAACCAACCGAAATCCTTATATCTTCCAACCAATCACCGAGACTAAAACGTGAGTATCACTATATCGTACAGACTATCTATGTGTGTACACAAAATTTTAAAGTTAAAGTTTAAAACTCTTGACATCCGTAACTCAGGACGATTAGAATCAGTAGTGAAACAGATAAGCTGAGTTTTAATTTCATTGTGTTTATTTAATTGCAAAAAAAGCAAACAGACATCGTCCATAACAAATAATTTCATTTACATCATGTACAAACTTACAGTAACACATAAAATACACAGAGTAAAACAACTGTGTACAACACATATGTCTATCAAAAACTAATCTACCTAAATATACTACAAAATGTCATATACAAAAGAAAACCACATTTTTATGGCTGTTGTGTTTGATCAGGATCATCAACAAATTCCAAAGCTTCTTCTCTTGATACCGATCGTATATGACTAACTTTATTTCGATATGTAATGCCATAAAATTTATCACCAAATTTCAATAAATCAGGACCAAATGTAGTTATTATAAATTGTGCTTTTTGACTCAGTTCATTGATTAAGTCTAAAAAGAACATTGAAAATTATTAAAAAAGAGTATGATAGCAGTTAGAAAACAGTGAAAAATAACAGATCGATAGAATTTATTCATTAAAAAAGTTTTATTTTCTTGTTGACATACTTAAGAACCTTTTAGTTTCATGAATTAGAACTTTTCGTTTCAGAATAGAGCTCGGCATAGTGTGTAGAATCGAAAAACTTTCAACATTCTTGTTCTTATTCGATATGTATCAAAACTAACCGGCAACAGCATTTCGATATTGGGGATCTAATGCCTGATCAATTTCATCAAATAAATAAAATGGTGCTGGATCACATTTTTGTATACTAAATATGAGTGTCAAAGCGACTAAAGATTTTTGACCACCGGATAATTGCTGCATATCACGCATTTCATTCGCTTTACCATTAAATGAAACCTAAAAACAAAGATGATGTTTTTTTAATAATCAACAGAAAGTGAATAAAAGAAAAAAATGTCTAATACTCACTTTAATTCCCACACCGGTAAAATCATCCACAGACATTGAACCAGACTGACTTTGTGAATTCACTTGATCACTATCAAAATCCTAAATGAATATGAAATGTTTAGGCATAATGGAAAAAAATGCAAACTAAATTAGAATGTATACTTCATTATCTCCTTTTTTGATAACTAAATGAGCAGTTCCTTCTGGAACAAGACGTTTGAATACTTCTGTAAAATACAGTGAGACCTAAAAAGAAAATGATTTTATTTCCTCATCTGGATAAATAATAGTAAAATATACTTGTTTAAACGTAAATTGAATTGTTTCTAATCGTTTATTATCAAGACTTTCAATTAGATCAACAATATGCTGAAAGAAAGAGAAAATATTACAAAATTGTGCTATCGATTAAAAGATCCAGGCAAAAGTAATGCTTGGTAGACATTTGCGATCATGCCCATAATCTATGCCTGTTTCCATGTGCATGACTAAAACACTTTTGATGAAAAAAACTACAGATTTAACGTAAATGACTTTTGGGATATATTATGAGTGATCATTGATGAATAAAGAAAAATGTCTATACGGTTTGTGCAAGCACAACATTGATGTTTTTTCCATACAGTTTACTACTTTTCTCCGAAAGGCATTTAAAAACTTAACCATTTTGCTGTTATGCGTGACAAAGCATTCCGCAGATGTGATAAAATAATTAACTAGCAGACGTTTATCGTTTAGTTTTAATCTGAAAAATACAGAGTTTAACGCCGTGATGTTTCTCGTCTCCTAAAATACAGAACTCTGCCTCAATCGACATTTTTTTACGAGTACTGCAATCTTTTTACTCTCATAACGCTGTGACATAGATCTTTTTCAACAATTTCTTTCGTTTCTAAAGTTTCAAAGACAATCCCAATTTAGACGGATCCCTGTGGTATCAAACAGAATTGATCTATGTGAGTCAAAATAGCAGGAACTTGATTGTTCCACAAATTATTATTTCGGATATCTAATGTTTTAAATAAATAGTGTATTTTATAGCGACTTTAATTCTCTATCCAATGGTATGACTTTTAATTTTTTAACGAAAGCCGAGTAGATCGAGAAATTGAAAACTAAAGTTTGAAAAAAATTAAAACTTTGAATTAAAAACTCATTTTTCCTTAATTTTGAAGTGAATATTCGTGATCAATGTGAAAAATTGCGTCTATTGATGTATTTTTGAGACTGAGTAGAGAAAAAAAAATTTCTAAAAGATTTCAACATCGGAGCGAACCATTACGTACTCAAGCCATATAGCCATGGTTATGAATAAGGGTATCTTATTCTGGATTAACTGGGTAGATTGACAGATATGTAGATTATTCGTTGATTATCAGTCACAGCGAACGCAAAGAAACAAAAAGTTACGTAGAAACGCATTATATCGATTTTTCTATTACAAGACACAAATAAGATCAACTTTTAGTCTATGAAAGAACAATTTCATTTAGTGAATTTAAAGGTACGATTTGTTTCCCTACTGTAATCGAAACACAATGTGAATCTTTGGATATTAACATACTCTATGTGCTTCATCAATTTCATCTTTTCTTATAGCTAATTTATCTCTTTCATCAGAAAATTGTAAAAATTGATCCAATGCTTTTTTATTAACATGAGCATATTTCTTTAATTCGGTTATTGCACGATCTAAATCTCGTTGTAACTAGAAAAAATAATAACAATTTTTAGTGTACAGATTTTCTTCTTTTATAAAAACGTACATGTTTGACATTTTGCCCTTTGTATTTATCCAAACCATCTGGTGGTACACCAATATCATTTGATCGTTTTGTAGCATCATCAAGCTAAAATAATTTTTTAAATTATACGGCCGTTATTGACAGTTAGTCATTTGAACATACTTTCATTTGAGCTTGACGTAATCTGACTTCATATTTATCGGCATTTCGTTTTTCTTCATTAATTTTTTCATCAAAATCTTTATCTGACGACTAAATTAATAATAAAAAATAAAAATTCACTCTTTTTTTCTTATTTAGATATTGTCTTGTATGTCTTACGCGGAGTTGTTCAAGTTGTTTCTGTTTTGTTTTCAATTCCTTATCAACTGTTGTTATTACTTTATCAATTACTGTAGAAGAAAATGAGGAAAACAAAAATTAGTCATAATGATAAACGCAAATAAATGTATATGTTACCTTCGATTTGTTTTTCATGTTCACTTAATTTATCATTGAGTATAGCAAGTTCACGTTCAAGTTCATCGATTAATATACGAGTATTTTCAACTTGCATTCGTTCTAAATCCTACATGACAAGAACAACTATTATTTTACAAGAACATTTCAAACTAAATATAGACTATCGAACAAAAAATTTTAATGAATTTCTATACTTACTGTATTAATTTGTTCACGTTTCTTTCGATAATTATTATTTATTTGATGTTCTAATTTTGTTTTACTCCCTTCTAGCTGCAAAAAACCAATGACACATTGATTATTAAATTAACATGTTCAATAAAAATGAATCTAAAAACACCATACTTCAACTCGTTTTTTAATTATCTTCTTTAATTCTTGATTGATTTGCTGTATTGTATCATTTAATGTATCAACAGAAGCTTGTTCTTCAACAGTCAATTGCGATATCAGATCACTACCAAGTTCAGCATTTAATGATTCATTTTTAGCAATAAATTGTTCCATAGTTGCTTGTAATGCATTCAATTGACGTTCCTAAACACAGCAATGTTATAATAAAACACACATCCTAATAAAAGAATATTATTGTCTGCAAAAACTACATATTTTATAATATTAGTGTTTATCTGTAGGCCATTGTAGTTCTCTTACTTTTCCGGGTCTATATGTAATCATTCGATCAAGTTCGGTTTGAAGATGTTTACTGTCAGATTTCATTTGTTCATAATTATCCCTAATATATAAATGAAAATGATGTGAAAACATATATTTTTTTTTTGTCTGATCAAATTAAAAAATTACCAATTTTTTTTCGATTTCATATCATGTCGTTGTAATTCATTCATAACTGAATTATGTTCAGAATCTAAATCATTTATTTCTTGTTTTAATTTATCATGT